GACTCTCTTGTTTGCTTTTTGACGTTAAATACTATGCTCATTCAGAAGAACACTTACTCGAGAGTGTCTTTGGAAAAAAAAATGCCCGATGAAAGTCACAAAGTCTACGTAACATTTATGGAGGAGTTAACTACCGAATTGGAGACGATTTGTTGCAAATAAAATTTTCTAAATTGTCATTGGTAGCCAACCTAGAGGGTGTACAAGGATGATCCCTTTTCACTTTTAAATGCTATTTAATCTGTCAGCGACAGTCTCGTTTTGGGCTGACTACGTTTACTTCGCAAGCTTCATACTTATTTCGTAGTAGTAAGCCTGCTTTCTCACCACAAAAGTACGACACAATCCGCCGAAATTTCACTCCACACACGAATTTATTTAGCGTCCTGCGGTCATTTGTAGTTTTACTAGTTTAAGTTTAATTCACTTTTTGGTTTGGTTTTGTTGTATTATTTAGTTTTATTAGTTTCAGCTTAGTTTTTGTTTACTCAAGCCTTTAGCACAGTTTATTTTTAGGTTCGTTGGTTTTAATTTTTTAGTTTTACTTTTTTGGCAACATGCGGTTGCTTTTTGGCTTAGAAGCTGTTGTGAGTTTAGATAAATGGGAAAAGTGTACCTTTCATGGTTTCATCTTAACCTCTAAAATGCGATCAAGAGACGACATAGAGTCAACATACAATTGTAACCAGTTCTTGGGTACTATTGAGCAGTTCGGCTATATTTTTCATTTTACTTATCGCGCGCCACAGATTAGGTTATTTAAATAATTATTTCTATTATTTTCTAGTTTTATACGTTCTGCTCTTTAAATTATTATCTTTCTTCCCCCCCTGATATGCCCATCCACTTAATCCCTATTACCGCCAGTCCTGCATTGAAGAATGCTGAGCTTTTCGTTTGCTGTAGTGAGCTCCAAACGAGACTGGTACCATTCTATAAATACTGAATAACTACAAAGACGTAAACTAGCAATGTAATGTGCATATTGCGGCTCTGGACTTATAAGTTTGTTGTTCAGTAGGAAGGTTTCAAAATCACATTTCGACGGTCTCAACGTGAATTTCTTCAAGGAACGCGTAGCGCGACAAATACAGTTACCATTTCTAGTTGCTGGGTGGCAGTACGTGCAGTGCAGCACGCAGTTCGCCCACCCAGCATGTTCTCTTTCGAGTTGCGTCACTCCAGTGAAGGGTGGCGTCAATTATAGAAGAAACCGACAAAGCTCTCGGGTCTGAAGCTTTATGGCACGGAAGAGGGGGGAGGCTGTCATATGCTGAGTCTTGCTCTGTATCCAGCTGAAAACCGACTTACACTAAGGAAAGAGGTTTATGTAGCGTTAGCAACAAAATCCCTGTGTGAGGTAGGAATGGAAATACTTGTCATCGGCGTTTATCTGATACGACTAATTAGCCAGCCAATGTCACCATGGGATAGGACCTGTCTATAGGGCATTTAAAATGCAGGCAGGCCTAATTCTCTCCAGTAACCCAAAGTTGCGAGGTGCAAAAAAGCATAAACATCGGGGCGGCATGATTTATACAAAGGATTTAAAAAAGAACATAATAGGTGTTTAGAAGTTAGAATTATAAAAACGCAACCAGCCCTGATTTCTGACCCGAATTCGAGGCTGTATTTGAAACTGAAGTGGAAACTAGGCAGAGGTGGGAGGCGAGACGGCCTACCTGCTGAATGAGGCCCCGAACTGTGCCCTCGAGGCGATTCTTATGTGGCACCTGTTCCTTCACCAGGTGAACGAACCGTTTCACTTGCTCCAGGTAGAGTTGTGAGCAAGCATACTCGTCCTCTAGACCTCTGAGTGCCATTTTAGCGGCTGCCATTGCCGTATCTTGGGCCTTTTCTCGTTCCTTTAACAGAGATAAGGGTAGGGGTAGATTTGTTTCGAGGACATGCGCACATGCAAGTATTTTATCGATAGGCCAGAAAAGCTGGGTACGTCAAAATATTGTTCCATAAAAATGGCATCTTTTAAATTAGTCGGCTAAATATGCAAATAGATTACAGGGACAGGTAAACTCGCAGCATAGAACACGGAGACAAGAGGTCATTGCGGTTGTTAACCGAATGTAGGCCGGAGAACCAACAGGCAATCATCACAGCAATTACGATCCCTGCAATAAAAATGAATACCGTTAATTATTGTAGGCTTGTGATGCCTTGGTGTCAGCGTCCTGCAAGTACTGCGCTCGTTGTGCCTGATAACGACTGCGAGTGAGGATCAGAAAGGTCAGGTGCATGAAATGTTTGTTCAACCGATCACATCTTCTTCTGAACTGCTTCCTGGAATTTACCTGTGCGCTCCTATCCGATTCACCAGCATCAACCTCACTCTCTCCTCATTCCACCCAGACTCGTGAGTCATTTGGCTCTGGGGTCAGAAGCAGTGCCTGACAGACCTACAGAGATCCGCCTGTGTGGTGTGATGATAGAGTTTTGCCTACGGCGCCTTATTGCAGATTTGCACGGTGACACATACGGCAGAGTTGGCCCATGTGGTGTCTGTATTTTTGAGTGCAGTGTTGGCAATTGAGGCGGGGGTTCGCCAGTCACTGTGTGATGCAGTCGCAAGTGACCGACTAGACCAGAGGTCGGGAATCTTTTTGACTCAGAGAGGCAGGAATGCAAATATTGGGAAGTATCGTTTTCACCATCCCCCAAAGAAGAGAAAGAAGAAGGTACGAGGACATGGACCGT